TTCCCTTACAATTTTAAAGCAATTTTTCTTTTCCTCCTCACTAATTGCAATCTTATCTTCTATATGTGAAATTCTATCCTCACATTGGTTCATACTGCTACGCAGACTTTTGATGGAGTTTTTAATCTCTTGGAAACCTGTTTGTATCTGTTTTATGGATTCCATTTGTTTCATATGGTGGGATTCCATCATGTTCCTCAGATCCTCTATTTTTTAATCTGTGTCCTCTCTAGATTCATTAATCATGGCTTGCACCATGAGCAAAATCTTTGCTGTTATCTGAGAAATTATTTCTGATTTCATTTTTCCCAGATCCTCTTTTGTTGCCAGTTCAGAGAGTCCAGGTGGTTGAGTGTCAGATTGTTCCATCCCGTTTCCCTTTGGGGTTGCTGTAGGTGATCTGGAACTCTTTTTTTGAGGCTTAGTTATGTGTTTTCTCATTTCCACGGATGGGTGGGGTGCTTCTGGAGCCTGCATGGCTCACCTTCTCTGCCCTAGGAGCTTGGGGTGGCAGCGGGGGAGCTTCCTTCCAGGTGCTGGGACCAGCTGAGCTTCTCTGCCCTAGGAGCCTGGGATGGAGCCTGGAGCTTCCTTCTGGGTTCTGGGACCGGCTGAGCTTCTCTCCATAATCCATATTTATATCTACTAAAATAGTTTAACTGCCTTATAGATTTAAAAATCTAAGGTCTAATAGTTTAAATGTACTTTGGCAAACAAAAAATTCATTAAAAATTCTACTTTTGGAGCACAGTTACTCCCAAGAGTTTGTTTAATATGTAATTGAATGTCTTATTTCAAATAAGATCATGCATGATTAAATATTAGTAACAGATTATATTCACGCAAAAGGTAAAAAGTGATGAGAACAAACACACTTTAATTAAAGTCAGAGAGCAAACAAAAGTCCACAGATTTCCCAGGAGTACTTAATATGCTTAAAAAGTGAAATATTAATTATAAGTTTCTGAGATTTCTTTATTGTATGAAATGTGGACACAACAGTTTTAGGATTGAAAAATAAAACAAAACTAAACTTGTCATGTATATTTAAAGGCCAACTTATTTCACTAACATTTGTACATCAAGTAATTGTTAAGGGACATTTCTACACTAAATATTGTCTAATTCTTGCAGCTTCCGCATAATGGTAGTTAGAATAAGATACATGAAAACATATTATCTATTAATATGATCTATACAGATATTGACAACCCTAGAGCATTATTAAAGTTTTTGTTTAGCCCTTAGTCTTTTTCTTTATTTGAGCCAATATAGACATGAGAACTAGATAAATGCAGCTAAATTTACAACTATTATTATAAAACTTTATATACAATAATTTGCTTGACAATTTCATAGATTTAAGAAAAGTTAATTTCATATGGGGAAAAGAATTCTAGACAAAAATTACATAGAATTTTATCTATTGTAGCCTGCCACAATTATGTAAATAATTGCATATCAATGATCTATTTTCCCTGTGTATAAATGTGTAGTTTATTCTAAATTATTATCAAATATAGTACACACAAAGGTTCACAATTACCAGTTTCATATCATAATATCTGCAGATTTTAAGTTTTTATCTCAGGTTTTTAGAAGGTTATTTCCAAAAATAAAATAAAATAAAAATAATATGATTGTATTTCTTAAGAAATAAGACATCTTAGATAAAGAAGAAAAAATAGGTATGTAGACATTTCAAAGGTGATTATGATGTGTGGTGATGGTTGATAACTTATGCTTTGAACCACAATATGTTTATACCAAGATAAGATGCTAGCAGATTTACAAACATAAGGATAAAATAACAACAACAACAACAACAACAACAACCTAGTAGTATTCCATAGCAAGTAGTGAATAACAAAAAAGCAATGTAGGCTTTTAAGGAAAACTTCATTGAAATAACTTCACTTAGTAGATACAGGAGAGAATGGAAAGAAATGATTCCAAATACACTCCTCTGCAAAATATTCACAGTTAAAAGTGGTATATGAACCACATGCTAACTCACGCTATCTAGTTTGAGTGGCCACCATCTCTGTCCTATGGGGCATCTTCATCATGCTCCATCAGCTGTATTGTGCTTCTTAAGTAATATTTCGTGGATAACTCTGACCCCAACATACTTAGAGGAGACAATTCACATTACAACTGACATCTTCATTTTCTTTATGACATGCCTACATCAAAGTAGAACTAATTTTTGTGGGGGAAAACAAGAGGAGGACCCCTTGGCGGATCTGCTTGGTTCTCACACTATAGATGATTGGGTTGATCACTGGTGGAAGCATTAAGTAGATATGAGCCATGAGAATGTGGATGAAGGGAGAGGACTGCTTGGCAAAACGATGGACAATAGATAGCCCTATCATAGGGACATAGAGGATGAGTACAGCACAGATGTGGGAGGCACATGTGTTGAGTGCCTTTAGTCTCCCTTCACGGGATGCAATTCTTAACACGGAATGAAGGATGAAAGCATAAGACACTAAAATACCCAGAGAGTCCAGGCCCCATAGCATAGTAATCACAACCAATCCATATATTACGTTAAATTTAGTGTCAGCACAGGCAAGGCGGATTATGTCCTGGTGCAGACAATAGGAATGAGAAAGGACATGCGAGTGACAGAAGCGAAAGAAGGTCAGATGAACCAGAAGTGGGATTAGTGGAATAGCACTCCTGAGCAGGGCTGCAATCCCAATCTTGGCAATCAGTTTTGGGGTGAGAATGGTAGCATACCGCAGGGGGTGGCAGATAGCTATATATCGGTCCAGGGCCATGGCCAAAAGCACAGATGATTCTGTGAAGGAGAAAGTGTGAATCAAAAACATTTGGACTACACAGATATTGAATTGGATCTCCCTGGAAATGGACCACAGCACCCTGAAAAGTGATATCACTGGGGGCAGGGACATGCCCATGTCAGTGAGAGAAAGCATGGCCAGAAAGTAGTACATGGGCTCATGCAGCCTGGGGTCTGTCCGGACTATATGCAAGATGATGCAGTTGCCCATTATTCCAACAAGGTAGAGGAGGCAGAAGGGGATGGAAATCCAGTGGTGAAATTCCTCATAGCCAGGGATACCTGTGAGATAGAATGTGGATGACAGGGAGCTACTGTAGTTTGAGGTTGCCATGGGGATCAGTGTTCAACCACAGTCCAATTCCACAGTCACACTCCAGTGGGAAAGGTATTGATAAGACCTGAATCTGTATTACAAAAAGAAAGCAAAAAAGAAAGAGGGAACACCTTCCAAAATTTAATGTTTACCACTAGTCTCTTTTTAAACCAACTCCACATATCAACTTCATCTTTCTCTATTTCATTGCTGGGTTTTGTCTATGAAATTTTCATTTATACCCCCCAAGATCTTTACTTCTGCCTTTCAGTGACAAACCCATTCATCATCCCATATAAACATGGATGATTTTTGAAAGATACATTCCAGAGAGGAACAGTATAGAGGAAAAACTACACCATATTTTTAACTTCATAATTTTCTCAGAAACATTGTTAGCCAGGGATTGGTCTTACATCAGCCGTTTTTCTGAAAGAAAAATAAAAGATTCCAACAGTGATTGACATTAAATTTATGTCACTGGCAAAGTTCAGAATTTTATTTCACAATGCCAGAACATCAAGAAAAATATATTTATAGAATTCACAGAATTCAAACAAGAATCAGTAAGCATGGTTCTTGTTCTTACTCACCTATCGTCAACTATATGATTTGTGTCACAACCTTGCTCTCTTCTAACAATCAAATATAACATCAGTTTGTTTTAGCTCGTTATCTTTCTGAGTGAACTTCAGGTTAAGGTAGACATTAAAGTCATATATTCTCTTTAAAAATATAAAACATAGGGCCGGGAATTTAGCTCAGTGGTTCCAGCGCCTGCCGTGCAACCGCAAGGTCCTGAGTTCGATCCCCAGTATCTAAATAAATAAACTAAAATATGTACTTTTTAATGAATAGAATTTTTTCTGGCTTTGATTTTAAAAAATTAAAAGTCTTTTTCCTGCTTTATTTTAAAATATAGATACTTATCTGCCCACCAATATATGCTGAACTGTAGACTGTGAATTTGGAAAGATTGAGAAGAAAACCGTAATTTAATACTCAATCAAGAGAATATAAAATAACAGAATATACTTATATGCTAGTCTGAATGACCCTATGGACATCTGAACTTGACAGAAAATCACTTGTACACAGACTGAATGAGAAAATGTTTTTCCCCACTTACTCTGAGATAAAAATAAATCTCTGAAGTAAAAAGATGAGTTATCTTTTAAAATCCAACTTACGCTTACTTGCCAACCATGCGTGCTAATACAATGCTAACAGGAGAACGAACAGTGCATGGCACAGATTACTTCTCAATGTAAGAAAATAAATTGGCACCTACTCATATTATAAAATCTACTTTGACCCTTTGAGACTCTCAAATCCCTGTCTCCTCATGTAGCAGATGTTTAAGTGGGTTGTTTAATAATGGCAATTTTGTAAGAAATGGAAGACCCATAAACAGGAAATCAAGCAAGTAAATTCTGGAAATAAAGTCAGTTTTTTCCTACTGTTCAGATTATAATTAAATTCTGTCTACATCTTGTGTGAACTGATACAGCCCTGCTGTCCTCCTCACCCCATCTGCCTGATGATCAACCTCCAATTTCATGTGATTGCACTCATTATCACTGTCTTCAGATCTCATCCCTTTTTAGGGTTGTTGAATCCTTTCCATTTTTTTAATCCAAGATCAGACCTAGGACATGTAGCTCTCTACACCTCACTACTTAGTGCAGACCATTTCCCTGATCCTATGATCTTTGTTCCCCCCACCCTCACCAAAAAAGAAGAAATAAATTAACTTGAAAGCTGGAAGACCTCTGACATAGAGGTCATTCAATTCATGGTTCATTACTCAAAGACTTTTTACTGAGATGTTAAGGAGTTGCCTACCTATGATCTCCCTTGTCTCTCTGGCTCTCCAATCACATCAACCCTGCTCATTTTGTGGTTCCAATGGTTGGTTGCCTTGTAGTTGTGGGCAGATGATTTTTTTTTTCTTTTTGCACTTGTATTGCTTCTTTTGTCAACTGAAGATAATAACAATTTCACACTTGTGCTGAGAAATAAAATATTGTATTGTAATCAAGTTAGAAAAATTAGTATGCCTTTCACCTCAACAAATTAACAAAGAGTGTTGCACTGAAATACTTTAAAATGTCAATTAAAAATAAAGCAGAAGGAAGATATAGTGCAAGCAGAATCCATAAATAAGTTTTTACACATATTGATCAGAAAATGCTCCGGCTGGTAAAGACAACAATGGCAATGAAGACAACTGTCCTTTGATATACAATAGAAGGGTGGGAGAAAGGAAGTTTCTGGACTGTCCTCTCAGATAGAAAAATAGCATCTCACAAAAATGCTGTGCATAGCTGTTTGGAAAAAATTGTCAACTTCATTTCATTTGTATGCAGTGAAAACCCAACAGAGCCAAAGATATGTTTTGCTTCTTATTTTTTTTTCTACCCTTAATAACGCTTGAAAATTATGATGTGGCCACCAGTGTGCTTGTCATTCTATTCCGTGAAATCTTCAAAGAAAGAAAAATGTATCCAGGACACAAAGTGAAATACCAAATAGTTTCTCTGGTGTGAAAAACTGAAAGTGTAAATAAGGATCACCATGTATAATTGATATTGTGAAATAGGAAAAACGGTCTGAAGGAGTAGGGGAAGTGGGAGGGGTAGGGGAAAGGAAAGAAGGGAAAAGAAAAAATATGAGAAAAGAAAAAAAAGGAAACAAAGTCTTTGTAAATAGGGAAAGGTGGAGGGGGTGAAAGGAGGGCAGGGGAAGGGGCAAAAAATGAGAACCAAGATACATCATGTAAAGGTACAAGATACCAATGATGAATGTAACTGTATTGTATACCTAAAGGTACCAATAAACTTAATGAAAAAAAAGAGATTGAAATCCTTGGAACTTCAATGAGCTATAAATAGAGAAGGTACATTGATAATCTGAAGTTCCCACAACATATCTTTTCTCTATATAAAATATATATTCACTAGTTACTGGCTCTCAGATTATTTTACTACCCCTTACTTGATTTTTGACTGTCCACCTCATATTTTCCTGGCCTTATAGTTTCAAATTTGTCCACATGACTATGTGATGTCTTCCATCATTTTCCAAAAGAGGAGAATAATGTTTTGAGTTTGGTTATAAATTTGAAATTGTGAAAGATGTGTAAGAGGAGATCTCTGAGATGTTAACTAAAATCATGTTAAAAAGAAATTCATACTCAGGATTGGATGTGAATTTTACCTGGTGAATTTCCAATCTCTTTGTGAAATCTTTTCTCTGTTATATCTGAAAACAGATATAACAGATATCCTTTACCTGTGTAATCAGCACTTCATGGGCAGATACCAACTGCCATGAAAGTCTTGAGCATCTTAAGGAAGTCCTGATTTCTGAGAAATCTGACTCTAACTTCGAACCTATGAGCAGGCACATGAACAATAAATATATTTTGGTGTAAATTATGTCCTGAACTGAGAGCTAGGCCTTTTAAAAATATACCCCTGATCCTTCTGATGTTTTTGATTCCTGTCCTTCCTGTCTTTTCTCAAGTTACTCTGAGTTTTCCTATTCCCTTCCACTTCTATTTTTCCCAGGTCTCACATACCTGGTAAAAGAGTTCCTGTTGGTGTGAGAGATCCGTTTTAATTCTCACAGCAAGCAGGATGAATTAATAAAGTCTTCTTTCAGTCCTTAGGGAAATGAGGCCCTGAAATAAATGTGAAACAGTAGCTGTAACTCTGCCACTGCCAACACTTTTAGGAACCAAGACAATAAACCGTTATCAAAAGATGCACATTTTGTTTTGACTTTTGTTTACCATTATTATTTTCATTCTTTATAAATTGTTTACACATATACTTCATATACTAAATGACTTAATAAACAAATATTTTAGTATGTTGAAAACGTAATATTGTGCCACACATTTTTATGCTTGTTTGGAGTCTCCTTGAATCTTTTTTTTATTACCTCAAACTAATTACTATTCTCCATCACTTTTGTTAACTTAGGCTTTGAAACTCTGATTCAATATATTTCCTTTTGGTTGATCTGAACATTTTTTTCAAAGTATTTTTATCATCCCTTCTTTATGATCTTTAATAAACTTACCAACATATGCCTTGGTAGCAATATTTTTTATATTTAAAAAAGCATTTCTTATAGTTTCCATTTTTTATTGTTTCTCATTGTTACAATGTCATTTATTTAGATTATGAATTTCCAAGGTGCCTTACATATTAATTATTACCTTTTAAATTGTTTTACTTTTTACTATTTCACTTCTATTCCCTTTAAATAAGTCATCATGTTATTGAATTGTGGATTGTCTCATGCTATTGTTTCAATACATACTTTTTAATATTATCTATGAATCTAATGATTCATAAGACCTTTTAATCTAAAACCTGCTTATATAACTCAATTTATCTTTGGTATATTTTTACCAAGTCTTGCTTTTCTGAATGCTTTTGGAACTGTGGTTTCTTGTCTGTTCCATTATCCTCTTTCCAGAGATGAGTATATTTTCTGAGCAATTTTTTTAACTTAGATTCTGTAAAGTTCTTAATTTTTTAATTATTTTCTATATTATTTCTTCATTTCGAGTTACACAAGTGTTAGGATAATATAAAATCCAGTTATTATCACTGTTCATCTTCTTGTTATTTCATCAATGGATGTCTTTTTTAGTCATGGAAAATTATATTTAAAAAAATAGTTTGTTTAGGTTCTCCTTGGATCTTCTCTCTAATTACCTCAACCTTACTACTATTCTGAAATTGGCCATGTAATTTAGGTCTTAGTTTAATTAGACACCAAGATAGTTATAGTTGGTAATGATTTTTTATAAATTTTTAATAAATTTTATAAATTTATAAATTTTTATCAAGTTCTGAACAGAGGCATTTTTCCCAAAAGAACAGTTATGCTAAGCAAGGATTTTTGTCATCCCGCTTTATGATGTGTATACAGCCACTTTGACGTGAAATGTTAATTACCCTTGTGGTTTTCCTCATTGGAGAAACTAAATCTGAGCGTAT